ACAGAATGAAACTAAGTCACAATGCAATATGCCAATGACCATCACTGACCATATGCATTGTTGTCATACACCAAAGGTTTCATCATACAAAGCAAAAATAGCAATAGAGTTTTCAACCAGCTCAATACACAAAACAGATAATAACATCAATATGTTTTATAGTCACTCCTTTGCAGCCATATTTGACTCTGCAAATCGAACTAGCTCTGTAGCCATCTTCATCCTATATGCTGCCATCTGATCTGTACGGATGTCCCTAATGTCCATATCCATCATGAGGTACTCTGCAATTTTAAGCACAAACATACCACAATTCCCACTACAAAAATCAAGAAATATATTAGGAGACCCTATTTAAAAGATGTACAGAAAAAAATTCTCAACTACAATGTTTTGTTTTATATGTTGATACTTACGCATCAGTCTGTTGTGGGCAAAAATCTACAGCCTTCAAATCAAGCTTGTTGTCTCCCATTGGTCCAGGATGATTAATGTAGACATCAGACAAATCCATTAACTTGGGTAGAAGGCATTTGATGCAAGTGCTATATTCAGCAATGTCTTTAAGAGATCTCCCTCCCTTTGAATTATAAACCCATACTATTTTGGACTCCACCGCTAACACTAGCAGCACCCAATGCCCCCCAGTATTCAGTGGCATATAGACAAAATCTGATCGGGCCCATGGGATAGCACATTTTCTTGCAAAACCAAACACTTCAGCTGTCAAGTTTGAAACGCTTCCAACATCTTCTTTGGTTTTAATTTTCTTATCAATGTCGTCTTGATGGCGCTTAAGACATTCCAAGAAAAAAGGTGTCACAGTTGAGTATGTTTGTGTGAGCTTGTAGTTGAATCTTTTCACCTCCAAGTAAAACATGCCAACCTCCATATGCTGTTATGAGTATAGGAAAACAATATCAGTTCAGTATTTATCGACAATGCTACATACAGTGTCATTACAATTGGAAATGTTATTTTGAAAAACAACTTACCAGTGTATCCAGCCACTCTTGATCCATGAAGAGATCATAAAGCCATGTTTTGCTGCTGATTATGAACTTATCCAGTACGATAGGCTTCTTTGTCATGTTTTCATCTCCTTTTGTATAAATCTTTCTCACTCCTGTTCTACCCTTCCTCTTCAACACACCACATTCAAGAAATGTCTTAAGTTTATCAATATCTTCTTGTGGGGGCATTTCCTTAGGGTTCAGGCTGAATGGTCCAATCACGACTTCCATTTGACTCAGAGTTACTTCAAACTTGCTCTTCACAGCTTCCTTCATTTTCTGTGTCTTGTTTTGCACCTTTCGCCTTGAAAGTGAGAGCTTTTGGGGCGCTTTAGTTTGCCTCTTACTCTTACGTGTCTGCACACAAGGGGCTTCACTTTCAGCATTTCCATTGTATTCCTGCAAATTTGCAACATTAAGTTTCCATTTATGGCACGAGGTCCTTTTTTATCCATTATAGTTTTCAATATAATTCACTCACACTTATTGGTTGTGCATCAATTATCGTATCCATTTTCACATGCTCAACAAGCTCTTTAGTTGCAACATCCACATCCATACATTTCCCTTTTATATCCATCTCCTCTTCAGGCAACTGCAAAACAATATAAACAGTTACACTGTTTATAGCCAAATCTGACTTGATACAAAGAAAATTATATACTCTGTCACACCGCACAGTCTAACACAGTATACTTTGTCACAGATAGTGCCATCTAACACAATACTCTTAATGATTTAACACTTTCACATCATCAGAATCCTTTATACCACTTAGTCAGTATTTTCTTTTAAGAATGTTTACTTATAGTGATTCCTTGTTCATCAATTGTAGAATCCATCGCATTAGCTGCAGGCTCCATATCAGATCCACCTTCCTTCTCAAAGATCTGCATGGCAATAATAATGATAACACAGTTTCACATATTCACAATATACTATCTTATTTAATACAAGAGTAAATGGTCTTACATTTCCTTCAATTGTGCCTCTCAAAATAGTATTCACTTCTTTGTCCATTTGTTCAAAGAACTGATCACTGAACTGTGTTTCAGACAACTTAGGAAAAGTCTCAATGCTTCTTTCATCTCTCATACCTTCTTTGATTTTATCATCTCCCTCATTACTGACTGTGGTGTCAACATGACCAAGATCATTGTCATCATGTCTGGAAGTAGCATCCTTTCCCACATCTCCATGGTCAGTGCCATCTTCTTCCAAAATAGTATCCTTCCCCATGTTTTTATTTTCCATGTCTTCACTCTCAACATTCTCATTGACAATTTCATCATCTATCTTTTTAAAACCCCTCTCCTCTGTATCATCTCCCTTTTGTCTTTCTAACTGCTCAAGGATCATCTTCAGCACTTTCCCTTGGCTTTCCTGCATTTTTTTCATGTCATTGAGAATTGTTATAATCTGACTCTGACTCTCCTTCTTCCTCTTTGATTTTCTTTTTGGAAGAAATTCCCCTTTCATGCTGTGAATAATTTTCTTTCTCTTCTCTTTTGGCTTGTTTTGGGCTTTTATCATTGTTGAAAGTTTCCTTTTCTTAGCACTGCCAACACTCAGATTTCTTGCTACAGTTGCACCCTTTTCTGAGCACTCAATATGTTGCACAGTGTCATCTATCCCCCTTCTTATGTATTCACTAGCAAATAATGCCAATGAAGGATCATTTAACTCCTTCTCACTTGGAACAATCTTTGACACTTCAAACTGTGTAAAAGAATAAAAAAAATATTAATATAATCCAGATTTACTACATATTCTCATTAAAAGAGAATTCCATAGAATACAAACCTCTGGATTTTCAAATATGGCTTCATGAAGAAACTGTGCTGAAATCTTTGCATAAATCTCCCACCTTAGGCAACGTGGAATCCAATCTTCTCTTCCTTTTACAATTTGACAATGCCCCGACTCTCTCAAGGAAGGAAATTTCTCAAATGCCCATACCTGTAAGGCAAAGACAAACCCTCCAAACGTCACTCTTCCCCTTCCACGAGCATTAAGGGATTGTGCACATCTCCCAGCATGTGTTAACAACTCTTCCCATATGACTTCACCCCATGGGAATTTATTGAATGCACCCAAATCATCTACTAGGTTAATGTATCCAATAGGAAAACTAACACATGACTGGTGCCCAAACATAACATTGCCCAACAGATGCAGCAATGCTAGCTTTACAACATCATCAGTTTCTACTCCGGGGTCATCTCGGTTGTGATGCAGCAGTGCATCCGTAATATGACATCGCTGAACAGATTTTCCCGTATTGAAATACCTTAACCCAAAGTCACCCAACCTTTCATCATTCAAAGTTATCCTATTCCCTCCGCTTCTTTATCTTGTGATAAGTTCAAATTCTGGCTTTGTGAACAAGACTTTTCTCCCCTTTATTTTGAACTTCATTTCTTTACATCCAGTTATTCCTTGCTTTGGTAACTTGTACCTTTCTAACAGACCAACTAAGAGCCCATTACTAATCCATCTAACATCAGGAACATCCAACAGTTCTCCTCTTGTGGTTGTTCCTCGTTTACGGGTGGCTCTACTTCCACATCTTGGCTTTCCTTTGAGTTTTCTCCTTCGTCATTGTCGTTGAGATAGATGTTCTCCAATGAATCTACAAGATCATCACAAGAAACCTTTCTCGCCAAGCGAGCATCATTTTCGGCAAAGACAACATGAGGAGATTCCTCAACGGTTAAGGTGCGTTTGTTGAAGACTCTATAAGCCTTACTACGCAATGAATAACCAAGAAAAATTCCTTCATCCGACTTTGCATCGAACTTACCCAAATTATCTTTTCCGTTATTGTGAACAAAGCATTTGCAACCAAAGATTCGAAGATGGGAGAGGTTTGGCTTTCTTCCTTTGTATAATTCATATGGGGTTTTCATGAGTATCGGTCTAATGACGGCTCGGTTTAACAC